GCGGGTCTGGACTCAGGGGGCTGTGCAGGCTGCTGGTCCCCTGAGGCATGGAGGGGCCCTTGGTCTGGGAGAGGAAGGGTCTGCCTCCGGGGCTGGCCTTCCCAGCCGTAGCCGAGCCTGCGTGGGCCCTGCACTCCACGTGATGCCCGCTGTCCCCTCGTGGAGGCTGGGGGCCGAGTCTCACCTGCCCACAGCCTGCAGCTGCTCCTGCAGGGGGCACCTGTCGCTGGACCTTGGGCCTTGACCTCCAGCTCCCGGAGAAGTGTCCTCAGGCCTGGTCAGGAGCTCTGCCACAGAGTGCCCAGGGTCCCCTGCCCTCTGGGTAGGGAGAGGACGGAGGTGGCCCGCCCCCGACACCCAGGCTCACGGGCTGTCAGGCGGAGACCTGCAGAGTCTCTGCCCTGGTCGAGGAAGGTGGCCCTGGTGACTGTGGACCCCAGGTCCTGGTGGCACTCCCTGGCTCTCCTGTTCCGAGTCCTAGGGTGCTGGGCCTCTGAGTGGCCACTAGTGCCGTGCGCTGGTCCCAGGATGAGGAGCTGGCCATGAGGACGGGAGTGCGGCTGTCCTGGGTTTCCTGTCTGTCCGTCTCCAGGGTCTGGTCCCCTGTTTCCCAGGCAACCCGACTGGCGACACAGCTGCCCGCCCAGGCCCTCCGCGTGGGCGGTCAGGCCCTGGACCCTGGGCTGGAGAGCAGGCTCCACTCAGGGTGGGCCGAAGCCTCCTTTGGTCCCACTCCTACCCCCACCCCCACCCCGGCACCTTGAAAGCCCTTTGGGGAGAGTCGGGGATCTTATTCCATAGAGAATTCACGGGGAAGTGACATGGTGGCAGGATCTTACACTAAGGTGTGAATGGTTGCCACAGTAAGGCCTTTTCCTTTCTCCAGCACGAGGCGGGGTGTGGGGAGGGACAGACAGAGTGATGACGAGACGGGGGACTCTCCTTGATTGACGGGCACGGCTGCCCCTTGCCCCTTTCCTGCCCTTCTGCAGCCGGGCTGTCCCTCCCCAGGCTGCCGGGCAGGTACACTGCGCCCCAAGCCAAAGCGCCGCGACGCGACGCGCTCTAACCCGGGGACCGGGGCTGGGGACAGCGGCCTGGTCTCTGAGGCGAGGAGCGGGAAGTGGACAGCCGGGGCTCGGGGCTGCCAGGGGTCGCAGGTCGGTGCACTGGGAGCTCAGAGCCCAGAGGGCCTGTCCGCGAGGGCCGTGTGCGAGCGTCCTCAGCCCGACACCCGCGTGACGGTCGGCTCAGGTCCTGGGTGGTCCCACCTGGAGCCTCGGCGGATCCTGCGGTCGCCCACTGGGGGCCGGGGCAGGCGCTGTCCGACGGCCCATCTGGCTGTGGGCAGCACTGGCCTGGGACACCACCCGGCAGGAGGCCGCCCTGGGCTCACGTGCGCTGGGGACACTGGGTGGCACGTGTCCTCTGGGAGCCGGTCTGGCAGGCTGAGGGTGACTAATAGTCACTGAGCCCAGAGCGGGCCCAGCGCCCGCCCCCGGAGGCCACTCCCCGCCCGGCTGCTCTTCACCTGGGCCAGATGCGCCGACTCCGCTGTCGGAGGCCACACGTGCACTGCCCTCCCGGCGGGCAGCCTCGCAGCGGCCTCCGTCCAGCAGCCTGGGCTCAGGGCCCCGGGAAGAGCCAGGGCTCTGAGGCCCGGCCACAGCGAGGGGTGGAGGCCTCCAGGCTGGGCCAGGGGACACGCCTGCCCGGGGCTGGGGAGCGCCGCCCGCCCGCCTGGCCCCCACCTCCCACACCAGCAGCTCCAGCCTCCGGCCCCGACATGGCCACCCTGTGGAGGGCGCGTTCCAAGAGGTGGGTGCAGTGGCCTCGGGATGGCAGGGGTGGGGTCGCAGCCCTAAGGGGTCCCAGGCTTCACGAAAGGTCACCTGGGAAGAAGCCCTGCCCTCCACCTGCCGTGGCCGTCACCCACCCTGCGCTAGGTCCCTTCGGAGGTGACTTTTGGACTTCACCTCGGCACACATGTGCCGCTCGCTCTTTGCCGAGCTTCCAGGCCCCTTACGGTCATTAGCCCATGCAGCCCTCCAAGCAGCCCTTGCCCTGATCCCATGTTACAGATGAGAAGACTGCGGCCCAGAGAGGTTCCCTCGCTTACCCAAGGTCACACAGCGGGTCAGTGGCAGAGTGGGATACAGACCCCAGTGTTGGTCAGTCTTCACTTGTTAGCTCTTCCCTGGGTCTCCCCCAGCTGGCCCCTCAGCTCATGGGGAGGGTTTGTCTGGTTTGGGCACTGCTCTGCCCCTAGCGTGGAGGCTGGTATGCAGTAGGTGCTTCGTAAACGTCTGTGGAGTGAAGGAGTATCTTGAGGCGATTCCACGGAGCAGGACCCTTTTGCCCCCGGAAGGATGAGGAAGTGGATGAGGAAGTGGAGGCTGTGGCAGACGAAGCGTCCAGCTTGAACCCGGTGGCCACCCCAGAGCCTGCGTCTCTGACCAGCCGGTGGCCTGGGCTCGCAGCCTGGCGAGGCCCTGGTCCCCAGCGTGAGGCTGAGGCTGAATGCAGCTGGCCGGGACCCAGGCTCGGGGCTGGCCGGGGGCG